TTTTACAACTGTTACGTAAGATTACCATATGTTACGTAACCATTACGTAATACCTGTTGTATTTTACGTAATGCGACCTGTGAAACCTGCTATATCAGGTAAAAAAATTCAAGTTACCTTACTTCAAGTTATTGTAGGAAATCCCGAATTCCGGCCGATTGAGATGTAATTACAGAAATTCTAAATTAACTTTTTGTAATTAAGTGTACTAATCATTTCCTAATCTTGTAAACGCAACTTAAAAGGTGTTACATGGCATTGTTAAACAAGGATCAGAAACCCTAGATAGATTTTTGGAAATAAAATGATGGTGGATTCTAAAATATGATTGACTTACCCTATAAGTGTTGGTGCAGAAGGCATGGCTTTAGTATTGGTGCCAGCATTTGAAGTTTAAACTTGTTGAGTCTGTAAATAATAAAACTGGGTTGTTTTGGTTTGTTTCAGTTTAGTCACCAAACTTTGTATTGTGTGACGTTCGAGTCTATTAGCGGTTAAGTAACTTAGTAATCAAGCAGCTGATTATGGAAGCTGATTTGTAGTGTAATGGGGTTATGATCAGCGAGTCTCAAGTCTTGTATAAAAGTGTGAAGTTGGTCATTGGAATAAACTGTCAGTTTGTTTCATTCTTGCTCGTTTAATAAGATCAACCTCATCATACATGAAACCTTGCATCAAGCCTACTTCTTGAAACCTAGACAACCAGAAACCCACTCCGGCAAGCGCCCGACGTCTTGAGTGTTTTCGTCTCCAATCGACCCGAGACCAACCAGCTTCAGGTATGCTTCATCTTTCACCGAGTGAACTGGGTCTTACTAAACAGAGGAACATGAATTTCAGATGCTGTAAACTGGGATTGCTTGTTGGTACACGATGGTCGTTGACAGCCAAAGTTACATTTTAGTACCTGAAGTTTTCAAGAAGATACAAATAGGTCCAGCATCATATGTGAAAAATTATATTTTAGTACATTAAAAATTTCGCTTTACATTTTAACACCTCTAACAAAACATATATGGAGATTCCATTCCAGAACCCACATAATTCCCTTTTTCTTGGCTCATGCGCAAAGGACACATAATTCCCTTTTTCTTGGCTCATGCGCAAAGGACGGAAGGATCCTTTGCTCCTTTACAATAATTTTGATGGGCTAATTATTTTCACTGACGGCTGTGTAATGGGCCTATTTTTTCCTATAATCAAATGGGCCTAATTATTTTCACAAACGACTGTGCAATCGGACTCCTTTTCTTAATAATCTAAATTTTAATGGGTCTCTACTTATTTCAGGTAGGTGGCAAAATTTTGAGTTTAATTAATTAGTTATTTTTTTAAGTCCTGACTCTCGCTTATGTTTACACTTTTCATGATGGTATCGGAAACAAAATAAATATTTAAACCGGATCCAACTCAATTTTACTACAGATGATTACATACATGTATCAATAATCTTTTAAGTATAAATCAAGTGAACATATGCGACACAACAATAGAGAAAGTACTTAATGTACCTAGGTGAACTATACAATCAATGTAGTGAAAATTGTACTTTACAAATTAAAATCTTACGTTTTTATGTGTTTAGTTCACTAAAATGCTTTTACTTAGAAACACGTATTTGAATGCATTCTGACATACATTCGAAAATTGTAATGACGCATGTGTTGCAACTGCAATTTGTTAAATTACTTTATTTAGTATGAAGTTAATCAACAACAATTTTCATAATAGAATTAGTGACCAATTTACATGATTGTTGGATTATATATTTGAGTTGAAAAATAAGCGATGAATGTATTTCAATTTTCACAAATCTTTCGTAATATAAAAAGTAGTGGAGTTTGATGAGTTTATACTCATATTCATTTATTTGGATTGAGTTTTTAATCCATGAATTTGAGTTTGTATCCATACCATATGCATATTATAGTTTGGTACCTAAACTTAAAAGTGTTTTATATGTAGTACCTACACATAATTTTTTCCACATAAGTCCTCAAAATATCGATGGAATTTACATTTTAATACTTAAAAATTTCATGACTTATATTTTGGTACCTAAATTTTTTAAGTTTTATAATCCGTCCACTTTTGTATTTGTAGTTCAAACAACATCAAGTAAATGGGAAGGCATGCCCACCTCATACTCATTTATAATCCCGAAGCAATACTCATACCCTACCGAAACCTATCTACAAAAGTCCAAACTCAAATAGACTTCACTTACACGTACCCTACCCAACTCAATGGGTTGCTTTGGGTTTGAGTAAAATTATCTATGTATGTGTAATTGTCATCCCTAGCAGCAGTTCTTCGATCTTACTTCTAAATTTACTTACCAAATTTTACTACAAAAATAATATCCATGGTTAGATATATATGCTAAGATTCATATTTTAGAAATTGATAGTCCATTGTGATTATTATAATAAGATTGTTTGACTAATATCCATTGTGAAACAAAAATAATTGTTTGACTGATGTTTTCATTGGAGGTTGGTCAATATGCGATCTCAATTGACATATGATCTCACAACTAAAAAGATAAACTAGATTCTTCAGTGTGGGGTTTCGATGTTTTCATTGGAGGTTGGTCAATATGTGATCTCAATTGACATATGATCTCACAACTAAAAAGATAAACTAGATTCTTCGGTGTGGGGTTTCGAGGAAGTGGCTGGCAATCAACCCAACATGGATTAGAAACCCTGAATTTAATTATTGCTTAGGCAAAGAACACAATATGTTTTTATGGTAACATAGTGGATTTGGTAATACAAGAAATTGATATTAATCAGCAGCGGCAGAGCTAAGTGTAGTTAAAGAAGAAATAATTTCTCCTTATTGTTTGATATGAGATTATAATGTATTCAAATGTGTAAGGAAACATTGAGTATGACATATAAGCATTATTAATTCATTTTTCTCTCTAAAAAATCCGAATTCAATTATTTCTTAGGCAAAGAAGGCAGTGAGTTTTTTATGATAACATAGTGGATTTGGTGATAGAATTAATTAGCAGCGACAGAGCTAAGTGAATTTAAAGAGGGAATAATTTCTCTAATTTTTTTAATATGAGAATATAGTGTAGAGAGTATGATTTTAAAAAATAATCATAAATACAAAAAATATAAAACTTTATTTATTGTGTTTTATCAAACTTCATTCGGCCAACGGGCCGTGCCCAATTCTAGTAATAAATAAAACATATACAGGCGGGTCCAAGGAGATGGGTACCCAAGCCCAATCCATACCCAAAAATAAAATCCAAATCCAACTCCACCTACCCAAACATTATCCAAATCCATATAGGGCTCGTTTGCTTCATGGATTTGAAAAATGAAGGTTTTGGTAAAATATGGGTTTTGGAAATCCATGGACTTATGAAGGTCTTAGATCCATTATGGACTTTTAAAAATTCATTGTTTGTTTCATGGATTTCATGATGGATTTTGTTTAATGAAATTTGTAGATATTAAGTGAAATTGACTTTATTGCCCCTATCTATAATCTTATAACGAAAGAAGACTCCAAATGTGCAACATATCATCATTAATTAAGCAAATGGTTCATTCGTTGTGTCGGAGGCTGCATTGAAAGGACAAGTGTCGGGGGAGATATATACTGAACATTAATTGCAAGTTTGAATTGATCTCCATTTTAGTAAGCAAAGCATAACATAAATCAATTGTGGCTATTACTCGAAGGACATTCTTTTAGCAAGCAAAGCATAACATAAATAAGTGGTTGTGATTACTCAAAGGACATAAAAAATGTTGTTTGCTGGAAGTAGAAGGAGATAAAGAAAAAGGGAGGATGGCACTGGTGGTGATGTTGGGGTTCTTCGTGCAAGCATTTGTGACTCATAAGGGTCCAATTGGTGATTTTTGGAGCACCTCGACACCCCATTTCACAATATAATCATTCATGCCTCTGTAGCCATCACAAAACACCTTGTATGACATATATGTAGAAATTGAAGTAGGAGGGTAGATTGGCCATTTATATAAAAAGTGAGGACAAATAAGTAAAATACAATCATGGATTTTAATCCATCACCCAATTCTCACCTCCACAGCTAGTTTTTCCAAATCCGTGGGGTCCACGGACGGATTTGGACCTCAAAAGTGCATGGGCCCCACGGATTTACACTCCCTAACTCCAAGCAAACAATAGAGTTTTGTCAAAATCCATGAAGCATGCAAATCCATCAACAAAACCCTCAAGCAAACGAACCCTATATAGAATAAATCCATACATAACCCATATAAATTGATATAATTGGGTTTGGGCAAAAATACCCATGAGTCGGTAAATTGCCATCCTTAACTCCACCTTTCCTGTGATCCAGAAAGGCTTAATTGCAAGTTTGGTCACGAGAATTGCTTAAAAATTTCACGTTTGCCACTCGAATTGATTTATTCCATTTACAGTCACTCGAATTAGTTGAACAGTCCAAGTTCGATCACTCTCCGTTAATCTCCATTAGACTCCGTTAATGATGACCGTTAAGTGATGACGTGGCTAACAGAAAAACACAATCAGCACATATAAACATTAAATAACGACGACCCGACCCGCCAGCTCAGCCTTACCCGCCAGCTCACCCTTACCCGCCCGACTAGATTTGCAGCCCCGTCCCTAGATCTCCCACTCTGCTGTTCCTCTCTCTCTCTCTCTCTCTCTCTCTCTCTCTCTCTCTCTCTCTCTCTCTCTCTCTCTCTCTCTCTCTCTCTCTCCTACCCACCTCCGCTTATTGCGCCCGGAGTTTCTCGTCGGCAGGCGGGTGGGTGGGCAGGTGGATATGGAGTTTCCCTGTGCAATTTCGGGGGGAGAACGGAATAACCCATCTCACTCGTAGCAATTCGCCATCGATTGATTACTCTGCCCTCTGGATGAGAAAGCCGAAGATGGATCTGAGATGGGTATTGCCACAATTCGATGAAGACAGCTAGCAATACCTTGCTACGAGGAAGACGACGGATTGAGTTGGAGCGGCAATGAAAAGGTCAGTTCGTCCCGTCTTCAGCATTCTCATATTCGTCCTCTTCCCCGCCACTCTCAGCTTCCGGATCCTACTCCGCCGGACCTTGTTCGCTTCAATTGAGCTTCAGTACAATGTAATACTACCCTACCCTGAAACCGCCCGTGTTTTCAATTCCACTCTGTTGAGGTACGCCGCCATCGACATAGGCGAGGAGAAGACCAAGAAAGAGATCGAGCAATTGCTGGAGGGAAATTTCGCCAGCCGGGGAAGGTACATAACTTTTGCTGCTTGGAGAAGGTTCAACAACCATGTCCCTAAAGCGACCTCCTCCCTGGGGTTCCCGGTGATGCTCAGATCCCCTGAATTCTACCTGTACTGGCTCGACTTCCGGTGGGTTCTCCATCACTGGGCGCGAAACCGAAGGTACCACCCTGATTAGTGATGAACAAGCTCGTTGAGCTCGTAAAGAAACCGATCGAGAAGCGGAGAGGAGGAACGATGGGTAAGGCTGAGCTGGCGGGTCGGGTCATCGTTTTTTAATGTTTAAATGTGCTGACTGTGTTTTTCTGTTAGCCACGTTATCATTTAACGGTCGTCATTAACGGAGTCTAACGAAGGTTAACGGAGAGCGACCGAACTTGGACTGTTCAACTAATTCGAGTGACTATAAATGGAATAAATCAATTCGGGTGGCAAACGTGAAATTTTTAAGCAATTCGGGTGACCAAACTTGCAATTAAGCCGATCGAGAAAGTAGAAACCTTTAAGATCGCAAGTTCGCAACCTTAACTCCCGGCAGATACAAGAGGAAGCCCACAAGGCTAATTATTAGTTATGGGCCCAACCTTTTGAATTTTTTCACGGCCCAGGCTTTTCGGTCCCAATCCACCCATTTTGGAAATAAAAGAAACAGAGAAGCCAGGGAGAGAGTAAAATTAGACAGTTCTGAGCTGAGATGAGCATGGATCCAATCCAATTATTCATCTAACCACAGTCCATCATTAGTCACTGTTCATCCATGATTTTAATATTTTATCAGTCTGCCGACCGCCATGTGAGCTCATATAATTGCTAACCCATTCCCTATCATATGATTTTGCCCCCCAACAGCTCATTCTGCCATAGTATCCTATCTAGTATCTATCACATTCCTTTACATTCATTTGTTTCCATAATAAAAAAAACCTTTCATCTTTAAATGCAATTCCGTAATCGTAAAATATCGTATGATATCAAATCTCATCTAACATATGGGCAAATAATATAATAAATTTCAACAAATAACAATTCGTAATTATATTCAACGTATAGAAAAAAATTCAAAGACACTCATATAACTTCAATTTTCAAATGTTCAATTTAGAAATTCAAAGACAGAGTTAGGCGAAGGGAAAACTTGAAAAAAGTGGAATTCGGAAACCAAAGAGTAAAGCGACGTCGTGTGACCTCCGACCCGCGGGTTGACAACCTTAATCATATCTCCTTAATCAGATCTTTGATCATTTTACAAGATTGCATTATATCAATATAAGGAACAAATACAACATTAAAAAAAAAAAGATTTATCGTCCAAACAATTTAAACACAAAATATCTTATATTACGAGTGACTTTATAGAGCCTCGAATGTCAAAAGGAGAATTAATATAATTTACCTTTAACCTGTGTTTGTGAAATCGTACGTGTCCGTGATCTGACCAAAAAAATATCGTTTCGTTTTTTGGTTGGATTCTTAGTGATATGAAATAGCGATTTCATTACTAAATAGTACCACTGAATTTTCCAAGTATTATATCCGATACGATTTTGCAATCGTAACCATTTTAAGTAATTGTTTTTGGGTTTTACGATTGCTGCGGCCGTCCAGGCCGGATCGCTGCTCCACTCCCAAACCCAACTCCCATGCATGCAGACCAAAAACGTACCAGAAGTGGGCTTTTTGCCCTTTCAAATTTCAATTTCATTACTTTTAGGCAATCAAAATTCAAAACTTGTAAAAGAGACGTGACCGACGGCCGACTAAAACATCGAACCGGTAACAGTTTCTGAAAAATGTAGCTTCTTGGCCCAATTAAATGTTCTGAATCGTGGAATAGAGGAAGGCCAGAACGTGAGCAAATGATCACTTTCTTTCCTTCTTTTTTCTCTCCAAAGTCAACCTCCAGATGTCTAATCTGAATCTGGTACCTGTTCTTTCCCCCTGTTGCTATTTTATCGGATTCGGGAAAAGGAAAACACACTTTGCTGGATCCATTTGATTGGTCGGAAGGCTGGCATTGATTTTTGGAGAGATCGAATTTCATAGAAATGTATCCTGCGTACGTAGAGGTAGAGCCCAACTTTATGATTACAGTACCGATTCTCCCGCAAACCACATGTACTCAAAATTTGTTAGAGGGTGGTAGATCCAAGATAATTTTTATTAACAATTGAGTTATTGGAAACAATTGGTATTAGAGCTGGTTTTACCAAGTGGTCGTGCGTTCGAATCTCCACGACCGCCAATATTAACAGTTTATTAAAGCACAAGGTATGGTGGGCCTGTGCAAAACTTCAAATTCGTGAGTTGGCTTTCGTTTGAGGGGGCGTGTTAGAAAGTGGTAGATCCAACATAATCTTCTTCCAACAACTCGAGTTATTGGGAACAATTGGTATATGACAAAATTAGGAGCCAAGTTCGGATTCATATACATGTAATAAAACATTAAAAAAAATCTTCTGAATTTCATAACCCTGCACACAAATTCACTTTTGGTATCCTCCAAAAATGCCTCATATTAAGACATCTACTAATATACAAGAGTCTTTTCTCTGATGTGGTACTTGAATTGTCTCATAACAATCTTCTCCGCAAGACAAGTACCACGGACTTCATATCCTCTCCTTAGCGATCATCTTGATCCGTAAGACACCTTGTATCGATGGGCTCTCCTACTCTAGGATTTACCAGATGCAGATCTCCTTTGACCCGTCAGACTGACGCATATCACAAATCCCGATGTCAACAAATGAGTGTCTACCAGATTGACGTCCATCGCCCTGATTTCAAGCTTCAAACCAGACTTTGATATCGCTTGTTGAGACCGGGTGCTCCATTAATTAGTACGATATTGTGCGGTCCGGAATTTCTGACCCCCCACATATTTACTTTTGAATATCTCATAAAAAAAAGTCTCGTACTAATAAGTTTGATGGACATTAACATAGAACAATGATTTCGCTTGTATATTTTCCTATATGTTAAGATCCATGCGGTATGATTGACATGTAACTTTTATCCAAAGTGCTCATCACCAACACAACATGTGAATTTCGATCTATCCACCCAACGAATTCTCATAGTCGCAGGGGAAAAAAAACAAAGAAGAAAGCAAGCTTTAAAATACTAGTAGTTTACGTGGTGTGATTGGAATCAAATCCGCCAACAACCATAAATGGATACAGCAAAAGCTTCAGAGTCAGGGGACCCCCCTCTGTTCTGGGAATCTAAACATTCATTTCAGCTCAGGGGATGGATTGGAAGATGCAAAACTTTACTTTACCACCAAAATTAGAGGCCAGCCTTTTAGCTACCTTTGGAATTGGGACACAAATATCATCACCATATCAACACTACTCTCCCTCTCCATTATTGCATACTGCCATTCACGTCTCTGTCACATTTCTCCCTTTTAACAATTCCAACAATATTATTATTATATAAATCTCCATACCTCACTCACACCTCCAATCCAAAGCCAGATACTAAGTTATCCCAGTATTGCTTTCAATGGAAGAAGACTTGTCCTGTTGTTCTGCTTCTTCTTCTTCTTCTTCTTACCCTCCTTCCACTCCTTCCACTTCCAACAATTCGTCCTCTGCCCATGGCGGCGGGGACAAACACAAGTCGATTCAGATGGTGCCCAGATCGGTCTCCGACAGGCTTCTCGACAAGTTCTTCGATGTGACCGAATTCGGATTCGATTACGAGCAGAGCGGGTTGTGGTCTCCACCGGTGAAGAGGAGTGTGTTCATGAATTCCCCCGGTGGGAGGATATTCAATGAGGAAGAGATGCTCCACAAGCTCAGGAGCGTGATGGATGCTCGCAGTTCCAGCAGCAGGAGATACAAGGCTTGTTTCAACGTGAGTGATCCCTTCACCTAGTAAATCGGCTGAATTTGGTGGGCAAATCGTTGCTGGTTCATTTTTTTGGGTACATCGATTTTGCAGGTGGTTTGGTGCTGTTGAGTTGAGTGACAGAAAATGAATGAACTCCCTTCCCTGGCTATCCAGAAATGGGGAAATCTCTCATTTTCCTGTTGTAATTCCTTCCTTCCTTCCTTCCTTCTGCTCCATTGTTTGGCTGTCTTTGGAATTATCATGACATTGTAAATGTGCAGTACTGTACTGTACTGCTAATCTTGTGAATATACATAGTGGCTTTGTTATACAGAAAGCCATTGCAATTGCAGCAAAGATTTAAATCTAATGCGTAGTGATGAATGTTTTTAATTTCGCATTACAGCTAGCTATCATCACACCAATATCTTGGGATTGCAGTTAGAACAACAGCTAGTTGCCTGATTTCTCTGCATTTACTGCTTACAGTCGTTCATCTAAATTGCAGAACAGGCAACTAACTAACTAGTTCTATTACACTTGTCTATATTGCATATATGGAGATAGGGAATTCCTACAATGCCTTGAAGTAAGGTAACTTGCTTTTTTTTACCTGCTATAGCAGGTTTCACAGGTTGCATTACGTAAAACACAATAGACATTACGGAACAATTACGTAACGTATGTGTATCTTACGTAACAGTTGTAAAATCTCATTACGGAAGCCTTATGTAATGGAGGGTTCTTCTACGTAATGGATGTTTACCTCGCGTTACGTAAAGTGATAAGTCATTACGGAAGTCTTCCGTAATGCTTCTAATTTAACTGTTACGTAAGAAATAACTTTCATTACGAAAGCCTTACGTAATTGAGACTTCTTTTACGTAATGAATATTAACCTTGCATTACGTAAAGTGTTAAGGCATTACGGAAGCCTTACGTAATAGATGTGTATTTTACGTAACATTTGTAACATGTCATTACGGAAGCCTTACGTAATTGAGGTTTCTTTTACGTAATGAATATTAACCTTGCATTACGTAAAGTGTTAAGGCATTACGGAAGCCTTACGTAATAGATGTGTATTTTACGTAACAGTTGTAACATGTCATTACGGAAGTCTTACGTAATTGAGGCTTCTTTTACGTAATGAATATTAACCTTGCGTTACGTAAAGTGTGAAGTCATTACGGAAGCCTTACGTAATTGAGGGTACTTTTACGTAATGAATATTAACCTTGTGTTACGTAAAGTGTGAAGTCATTACGGAAGCCTTACGTAACGCTTTTGATTTAACTGTTACGTAAGAAATAACTGTCATTACGGAAGCCTTACGTAATTGAGACTTCTTTTACGTAACGAATATTAACCTTGTGTTACGCCAACATAACAGTTGTAAAATATTATTACGTAAATATACGTAGTGAAATTTTATTTTACATAATGAATATTAACATAGTAAAGTATTTAAATAATTACGAAAGTCTTATGCAATATTTTTTGAATAAAATATCATCCAAAATTATGAAAATATCAAATAAAAAAATATATATATGCAATGATAAGATCAAGCGGGAGCACTTTGGCAATAAAAAAAAAAAATCAAGCTAGAGCAGCTAACTTAAAAAAGAAAAGGAGCTGGCAAGTTAAAAAAGAAAAGAAATAAAAAAGGTAGTGTGAAACGGGAAAGTAATAACCGGCAGTGCCGGTGATTCGGTTCGGCTTGTTTTTTTTTTTTTTTTAAATCAATGGCTTAGGATGAATTTAATTGATTTTAATGGTCTAGATCTATACAAGTTACCTAACTTGAAATTATACCCAAGTTATTGTAGGAGGTCCCATGGAGATAATGGAGTAACAGTGAAGACCCTACGTCATAAATTTTCAATTTTTTTGTTTTTTTTATGAGAGTTGAAAAGATGAATATATCGTAAGGGAAAAAGTTGCATCACAGGAGCTCCAGTGGGTTCATAAGCTTGCGAAAAGGAAGGTTTCTGACAGGGATACCATGGTGCATCCACTATGCCCATCCCATTGACCCCACACACAATGAGAGAAGGGTGGAAAATCGACCAATTGGGGGTTGTTTGGAAATTGCATAGAATGCCGAAGCTCGAACTGATTCGTTATGTCGTTTACTCACGTATGTTCAGTCGCCATATTAGTGCACTATTTTTCTTTTGTATATAACGTCTTAAATGTCAATCTAATAACTATAAATAAGCGAACGTGTGATAGAACAACATCAGGCTACCTTAGCCTTGATACGATTAATGCTGATAGATAACGAATAACAAAGGTATCGTGATCCATACGAGCAAGTGGCTTATCTCTTTGCTTTCCTAGGATCTAGTGTTCACGCTTCTCCTTAATTGGTCAATGGGGAATATTTACCAGATGGTGAATATCTATATATGGGTGCATATGTAAATGAGAGTCACATTGTTTCAGTTTTTCACCATCTCTGCGTTGGACAAAGGCCAATACCGTACACCGGCGAAAAGAAGTGGCATCTACCTCGAATCCCACCCAATATATATACATGTATTAAAATATATATATATATATATATATATATATATATATATATATATATAGTGCCTTCTATGGTACCCCTGATGAAATCCGGGGTACCGCATACCTTGAGTATGGAAACGGTATCTAGACCTCGAATTAGCAGGATTTTTGGGTATGATACTATACCCTAACTTAAGAGTGAACTCTAGGTCCTAATTATCTAAATCATAATCTATAAACTCTAAGATGGTGCATTCCTTTTTGTGCCTATATTTGGACGAATCATAACCGTCGATTATTGTTTCTAAATAAATTGATCTTGGAGTATAAGGTTGGGAGAATTAAGACCTAGATTTTGATCTTTAAGGGTTAGAGTATAGTATTATGTCCGAAAGATCGGTTAATTCAAGGTCTAGATAATGTTTTCATACTCAAGGTATGCGGTACCCCGAATTTTACCCAGGGTACCGTAGAACTCGCCATATATATATATATATATATATATATATATATATATATATATATATATATATATATATCTTTCCTCCACATCACCCACCACGTGGTTCCGATATCATCACGCCATGTTGGCCATCACGTGATGGTCCAGAATGAAAGAATTAACAAAACCACTCACGTGCTCGTCACGTGCACGGTTCCACCACCTCCACAGAGAGCTGACAAATGTTATAGCCCCCGTCCAATCAAATAACGTTCACAACTGACGTTCTGAGTCGTAGCAGTAACTAACTATAGGGGTGACGTAGCAGTCGGCAGACAGACAGTAAGCCTACGCCATGGTTTCCCCGTACCTCACAGATCTGAATCTGCCTGTAGGAATGACAGATGTAGGAGGAGAAGAGATTCCAAAAAGACTGGTAAAATATACATTCCCCAAAAACACAACTCGGCTAGCGTGCTCACAGACAGGAACAAGCACTTGCTGACGACGTTGGATTGAGAGAGTCAATATCTACACGGGAGGCGGCTACAATGTTGTCGGGACTAATACTTATCGACGGCGTTGAGTCGCATTGCTACCGATCGATTACACGGGGACTGGACTTCGGTCTAACAATTCTTTCCCGGTGACGCCGTCCTTCAAGCTTTTGAAATACACGTCGTAATCGTTCTCCGGCGGTGGGTTTTCCGGGTCCACTGTAAACGGCTCGCTAAATGGGATCACACTTTTCACCTGATCAAACAACAAACAGAGATGTTCTTGGTTAAACTTACAGTCAGTAGGCCTACAATGTACTGAATGAGCATAACATAAGCACAACTGATGGAGATCAAAGAGAAGGGGGACCTCAAATGTTTTGTCGCAAGCATATGGGCTGTCCAAAGCAGCAATGCATATCCGAGCTACCTCTTCTCTTGACACTTTCCCCTGCAGAAACGATGTCTATTCAGTTAAAAAAAAAAAGGCAACTTGTACACCCACTAGAGCAAGATTGCTCAGGTTTTGCAACAACTGGGAATAGTTGGCAATAACAAACACCAAAACAAGAGAAACGACGAGAAGCAACGTACTGTTATGTTGTCCCCCTGCTCAAAAATTAGATCTGCTCCAGCCGGCTCCTCAGTTAAAGCACAGGGTCTTACGATTGCGTATGGCACGCCACTCTCACGTATAACATCTTCCCCCTGCAAAGAATATGAACAGAAAAAGAAATCAGAAAACTAAGAATGGCAGTATCTTCTTCTTCTTCTTCTTCCATGCTAACTATTTTCTTCCACATACTAATGACTACTTAGCTTTCTTCCAAAAAATTTGGGCCTGGTTATAAATAATAATAATAAGAAGAAGAAGAAGAAAAGATTGGGTCTAGCAGGGTTCAACTGTGGTGTTCTTGAGGTTAAATCACTCCCCTTTTACATTTCCTAAATAATAATAAGAAGAAAAGATAGGGTCTAGCAGGTTCAAGTGTTCTGTTCTTGAGGAAAAATCACTCCTCTTTTTCATTTTACTAAAATGTTACTTGTTCAGCCTCTCTAGTATGCTAGTTTTATGACTACAGAAACATGTAAACGTCCTTCTCCTTGATTTAGTTGGCATATGAACAGTAGCAAACCTTCAACTTGAAGGTGAGGATAAAACCCAATTCCTTGTTCAAGCGAACAGCAGGAGGTTGTTTACTGAGATCAAGACCAGGCCTCTCAGGTCTAGTAACTCCAGCAGAGCCGATGTGAACAAACCTAAGATGTTCCATGAATCACAAAAGAATCCATGTCATCCACAAGTTTACTCAATTGGCAAGTTTTAAAGGAGCAAGCAGTATGGAGAAACCATATTTAAACCTGGGAGTAACAGGCTCTTTGATGAATGCTTTTACGGTTGATACTGGAAGCTGAAATGCACCCTCCTTGAAAGTTGGATTCAGTTTTCCATCATACTCAAACTTGCTGAACATGAGCTGAAATAATTTTTTTAAAATCTTTAAACAGTAGACAGTATCTAGCAAAGTAAGACACAAGTAGTGCTTCGCGAAGAAAGCATGCCTGAAGTGAGATAATATTGCTCGGATCAAATGGAGGTGCATCTGGTACAGTCCGAGCTCGAAAGATAGGCTTCAAAGAAGAAAATGGAAGGCGTATCTGCACACACACACACAAAAAGTTAATTTCCACGTGATTTGGTGCCACTTACTATGACCATATAACAATGAGGGGACTATTATATATCACTTACAGATTGCCATTGACCTTCTACTGTGTCAAAGCCAGTAGTATAACCAATGGTGTCCCAGTCACTGCTAGTACGAACAATGAGCTTGTATCGACGACCATCACCCTTGAGGCGCAATTCAAAACCGTCATATGCAGATAGATCCTCAGGTATTGGAAAATTCTGCCAAGAACTCAATATGTTACATTCTGTCACTTGGTTCTCTACTGAACAACTTATAAGTTTTAATTAACTATATACCAATCATTGTGATAATTCAATTTGAATCATGACAGAGAATATAAATAACTATAGGATCCATTGTCTATTCGCCCCCACAAGAAGTGCAAGGAGCAGGTTTATGGACTGCTGCTGATCCATTTCCTGCTGCTTTTTATGAATTTTTTTTTATATCCTCAACTTCAAAATAAGAATCCTATAATGGCAGAAGCGTCACTCAGGAAAAGGTAGGACATGAGAATCAGAGAAATTTAAGATCTATTCATTTAGAGCGCCTTAGATTTCACTGAATACCACTTGGCAGGCTTATTGCAGCCCGCGTGTGACTATCATTAGTATAAATTTTGAACAGTGGCAAAACCAGTTAGTATATCTGGTATCTCATTAATACATGGATGGTGATTCATATCAAGAAATCAAAGGAAGCCATGGACAGCAATGAGAAACAAGGCCTGAAAAATAAAAGAAAAAAATGTGGAATGGAGCAAGTACTTGGAGTCGGACCACTAACAGATTTACCTTTGTTCTCACACTGGTGAAGCCACCATTGTTGGCAGTAGATACAACACCTGATCAAGCCAGAAATGTAACAAGAGTCATGTAAGAAACAGTAATCTACTAGGAAAACCGCTGAATCAATTGCATTTTAGGAGAACCTGCCTTTAAAAACCCCAGTTGCCCCGCCATCTTCCCCACCGGTAGTGTCAATTTGAAAAGTACTCTGGCTTACTCCTCCCATAACTACATCGTCTAAAGAGCCCCAAGGGAGATCTTTGAACTCACTACCTGTGGAAAGGGATTCAAGGAATGTAGTCTGTATCAGAACCCAATCAAGTTCTACATGTGCCAAGTAAAGAGATCAAATTGCAGCGTGCATTAACATCATCAAATTGAAATATCTGGCACATAAGAGAAACACATTATATTTGGGACCTAAATGAAAATGATGAAGTTCTAGAGTCCCAAGGCATGCGTAAAAACCAACAGGTTTCTGACATGGTATAAGATATAGGGGCAGAAGGAAAAGAAGAACGATGATCAATTAACTTTCCCTGCTAACTTAAAGCTATGACTTACATCCTACAAAAATGCATATATGGAGCGGTCAAGAAGGCAGCAGACCTTCGCATCCAAACAGTAGTTTTCCACCACGGAGCGCGACTGTACCCTTTACTGCGTTAATCAAATTCTGCATCCCAAGATACTCCACCATTTCCGGTGAATCACCTTTAATCTGCAGATATAAATTGATGATGTCAACATTTAGTTACTTGCACAGCATCTCTGATGGCTTCTGTTAAAGTAATCGAAGGTCAATCAGTCCGAAGAAAAGACATGTCATGGTTGTGCACACCTCTGGCTCGAAGAACTTAATTCCCTGCAATTCAACAAATAACAATCAGAGAAAGAAGAGCCAACTAAGGAAAAAATCAACTGAAGTAAATAAGGTTGACAATGCATACTTGACTGTACTTGGCCCTGTCAGGAGTATCACCCTCCTTCGGACCGACAATTACAGACGCAGCATTGATGACTTTACTGACCCCCTTAAAGTACTCAGGGTTCAAAGTGTTCTCCTTAGTGATGTCCCCAACAATCTGACAATCTCAGAGAAATAACATTACCTAACACGCCAAATCATCGACAAAAGACCCCCGAGTGGAATTCGCTTTTCGGTTAACAAGGTCGTGCAAGAAGAGACTAGTGTTGAGGGCTTACCAGGTCCACATCAGGGCCTAACAATCTCCTTGCCTTCTCTTCATTCCTGACCTGAAAAGCGCATGATTACACAAAAAAATTGAATCTTCAGTTTGAAACCCAAGGGAGGAATTTCTACTTGGCTTGATTAAGAGAGTGAAGAATACCAAAGCTCGAACGGGGATTCCTTTCTTTTTCAAGATATCAACCACTCTTTTACCGACACCACCAGTAGCACCAACCACGAGGACCACCCCAGAGGTCTTCATTGTCTTATTTTCCTCAGAAGGCGATGGACTGGAAATCCTCTCGATCAAAGACTGAATGAACTATTCAAAACCACAAGATTGAAAACAATTATTCATACAATCTCCAGGACAATTCCCCATCGATCAAAGCCCTATTAACACAGTTAACTCAATACTTGCTCACCTTAGCTGGGGACGGAGGGGAATTGAAGAAGTAAAATGTTTTCACGAATCTCCCCAAATCCCAACCCTGATTTTTAGCTTCCGCCAACACAATCCCTCTCCGAACAGTAGCCGCAGTCAAACGAGCCGAATTCCGCCTATGGAGCAGTCTGTGATCGATTTGAAGAAACGGTTTAGGAAGCGGAGGGATTTTGCACGAATCGCTCGGAAGAGCTGATCTAAAACCCTGCTGTTCCAAAATTCAGTGGAAAAGGAAAACATCAGAGCTTCATGTGGCAGAATACGACGAACAATATTCGCAAAGCAGGAAAAACTTACCGTACGGTTGGCGATAGGAGAAACGTGTATCGGCGAGCAACAGCAATCCATTTTCCGGCGCCGCCGCAGGTAACGAAGAAGGTTGTGATGAGAGAAATATGCTTACACTAGAGAGAGAGCTTCGTTGATGAAACTGTGAAGTGGTTGATATTTGAACCGTCAGCGCGGCTTCGTGTTCACCATACACGTGTCATGCATCTTCCCTGCTCGGTCCGTACCGTTGAATGCGCGCCTAGAATATTTTCGCTCGTTTTCTTGTTGGGCTGATCTGGGCAGTCTTTCATTTGACGAAAGAAATGGGCTTATTTGACTTAGATTCTTTCGACGGGCTCAAAGCCTCTGTGTTCTCAAATTTATGATAACTAGCCTAAACAAGGAAAGCCCATCAAATTTATGATAACAGCGGGCTTTATCCGCAGCTGGGAAGGAAGTACTTCTGAAAACAATAGCCTCGGCCCTTCCGATTTATGTAATGTCTTGTTTTCGCCTCCCTTCTGAACTTATTCGTAGATTAAATGCCCATATGGCAAGGTTTTGGTGGGGGGCTTCTCAGAATCATCGTCGTATTCATTGGCTTGCTTGGAGAGGATTATGTGCTAGTAAGTTTGAAGGGGGGCTTGGTTTTCGAGAGTTTGGATGTTTTAATCAAGCACTTCTGGCTAAAGTGGCTTGGCGAATTCTCCAAGAACCCAATTCTCTTCTTGCTCGAATTTATCGTGCTCGGTATTCTTTTGGTTCAGATTTTCTCTCTATTTCGGCCAGGGGGTCTGCTTCCTGGGGATGGCGTAGCATTCTTTTCGGCAGAGATCTTCTTCTTCAGGGTTTAAGGTGGCAAGTTGGAGCAGGGGATACTATCAGAGCTTTCAGCGATCCTTGGATACCTTATTCTCCACCAACTGTCCCCAAGCCGAAAGCAGGAAGTATCCCTCCTCCTATTTATGTTTCTGCTCTCATTGATCCTGGCACTAAATTGTGGAACCATCGAGCTTTGGAACATTTTTTCTCGCCTGAATCTATTGTTGATATTCAATCCATTCCTTTATCTTTTCGCTCAGTCCCGGATCGAGTTATTTGGCATTACGAGACTTCTGGGGATTTCTCTGTGAAGTCCGCTTATCATCTTGCTTTTTCGTTACTCGATTCTCCTGTGCGAAAGCTTGGTGCGTCCCTTTTGGATCAATCAATTTGGATGTGGGTTTGGAGCAGGGTTCTTCCTCCAAAGTTACATTTCTTTCTGTGGCAATGTCTTCTTCGTATTTTGCCAACAAGGGAAGCTTTGTTTATTCGGGGTGTGGATCTGCTCCCTATCTGCCCTGTTTGTGAACGGAAAGAAGAGACAATCGAGCATCTTTTTTTCACCTGTTCGTTTGCTAGGAAGTTTTGGCGTTTGGTTGGTTTGGAGCATCGTCTTCGCCAATGGGAGACTAGATCTTTTTATGGGTTTATCAGGTATTCTTTATTTTCCATTGATGATATAGGGTCAGATTATCTTGTCCTGCAGGTTGTCTGTCTTCTATGGCGTCTCTGGAAGAATCGCTGTTTGGTGCATTTTGAACTGAAACAGTTGCAGCTTCCCATTTTAGCCTCTCAATGGCGTCATCAAGTTGATAAATCGGACAAGGCTCTGCTTCAACCTAGGCCTCAGCCTTCACTTCCCAATAGCTTTCATTTTCCTGCAGGTTCTCCAATTCTTTGTTCGGCAAAGTTTGATGCTGCGATTAATGTTGGATCGGGTGGTGTTGCGGCTGCTGTTTTGTTGGATGATTCAGGAGGTCTCCTTGCAACTTCGGTCAATCATTATCCTGGGATTTGGGATCCTTTCATAGTTGAAGCCTTGGCTCTCCGGGATTGTCTGCGTGATTGTCTTCGGCGACAGTTTCAATCCATCAATATTGGCGGTGATGCAAAAGTATTGATTGATAAGTGTCGTAATCGTGATGTGTCGGATGCAAGGACGGGATCAATCCTTCAAGAAATTTGTTCTATTTTGGAAGAATCTCCTGGAATTCAAGTTCATTTTGTAGGTCGTACTAGAAACAGAGTGGCGCATTCCGTAGCTCGTCATGCTCTGTTGTTGTCACCTCGCTTTCATAGGGGGTTTGACTACGTTTTGTGGTTCAATAGTCGATAGGTTCATTGTAATCTGGGATCGTGGACTTTCCTATTTTTAAGAGTGATCGATTGGCAAAAAAAAAAAAAAAAAGGAAAGCCCATCAAATGGGTATCCACTTATATTAAACCGGTCCAATGGGGGAATCTTTTTCTGGTGAGAAACAAAGTGGTGAGAGGTGCTCTATCCTTGCGTGGAATGTCAGAGGATTGGGCGACTCTGACAAAAGAGCTAGAGTCAAACCTATTATTCGTAGGTGTCGAGCTGCTGTGGTGGGCTTGATCGAAACCAAGTGGAATGATTGCTCCCATTTCCTTATTACGTCGGTCAGTGGCAGTAGAACGGTGGAATGGGTTGCAAAGAATGCTCTTGATTCGAGGGGAGGTATTGTTGCTTTCTGGGAACCATCTGAGTTTAGTTTGTTGGATTACTGGGAAGGCAGTTTCTCGTTGGCCGTCCGCCTCAAGGTTGTCCGATCTCAGAAGATCCTTGCCATTGTCTTTGTCTATGGCCCTCACGACAGGACCGCTAAGCTGACCTTCTTATCCGAGATCGACTTCATTTGTCGCAGATACAATGAAACCATGTGCTTGATGGGTGACTTTAATTTGGTGAGGTCGGAGGAGGATTACAGGGGGTGCTCCCAGGTGTAGAGGGATGATGGATGAATTCAACTCAGTAATTAATCGCAATGGTCTTACTAATCTTCCCCTTCAAGGGGCCGGCTTTACCCGAAGCAGTGGTGGCCTCACTCCTTGTCTTTCTCGTATCGATAGAGCACTGGTGAACTCTAGTTTAGAGGATTCCTTCTCTCCGGGTCCCCTCCTGGCCTTTGAGCATCTCGAATCCGATCATAACCCCATCCGTGTTCATTGGGGATCGTCAGACAGTGTCCGAAGACCTTGGCGGTTTGAGAATATGTGCCTTCTTGAGGATTCTTTTTTGACGCAGCTCGTTGGGTGGTGGAATATTCCGGTTTCTGGCTCGGGGCTCCGCTTCCGCGCTAGTCGTCGTCTTAAGCAAAGCAAGCTCCTCATCAAGAATTGGAATACTGAAGTGTTTGGCAAAATCCAGCTTAAGATTGAGTCGCTCATTAACAAGATCAATGAGATTGATATCTTTGAAGAGTCTGGGCCGTTATCAGAAGCTCAGGTTATTGCCAGGAGTCTGTGGAGATGTGATTTGGATAAAATCCTTCTTATGGAGGAAATCTCTTGGCGTAAGAAGTTCCGCGAGTTGTGGCTTAAGTTTGGGGACAAGAACTCGGGTTACTTCCATCATGCTGCCAACAATAATCGCCGGAAAAATACAATTCAGTCTCTGAAAGTGGGCAAGGAGATAATTACGGATAAAGAGGGCATCAAGCTTATTTTCGTGAATCATTTTCAGGATAGATTCTCTGAAGAGGTGCCCACCAGGCCCTTCCCTGCTGACTTCAAACGGAATATCCTCACCGACGAGGACAACCTCCTCCTCACCCGCCCATTATGGAGGATGAGATTTGGAGAGCTGTGCGCTTGTGTGGGGGGGATAAAGCCCCGGGGCCGGATGGTTTCACGTTGCGTTTCTTCCAGAAAGCTTGGCATGTGGTGAAATACGACATTTGTAAGGCGCTGGACGAATTCTTTATTACGGGTTTTGTCCCTGATTCTGTGGCTCATTCCTTCATCTGTCTCATCCCAAAAAAGACGGCGGTGGAGGATGTGTGTGATTATCGCTCCATTAGTTTGGTTGGGAGCTTGAATACAATCATCTCCAAAGTTTTGTTCCATCGTCTCAGCCTTTTATGGATCGGATCATCTCTCGTCATCAGTTCTTGGGACTTCGTAACAGGCAAATTCATGAAGCAGGGAGACTCTCTCTCTCCTTTTTCTCTTCAGCCTGGTTATGGACATCTTTTCTTTCATATTTCAAGTCTCTCACGACTCTGGTCTCATTGAGGGGTTTTACTTGGATGACGTGATCAGAACTGATGGCGTGAATCATCTTCTGTATGCCGACAATGCTATCGTCTTCTGTAATGCGATGAAAGATGCTGTGACTCATCTTGCCGGTGCCCTTATTTGGTTTCAATGTGTAACTGGTTTGAAGGTGAATTTTAGGAAGAGCTTCCTTTTCCCAGTCGGAGATGTTGACAACATCGACCGCCTTGCGGAGATTCTGGGCTGTGAATTGAAGCTCCTTCACACAGATTATCTTGGCCTGCCTCTTGGAGCGGCCCCGGCTTCTTTTACTGTTTGGAATAAAATAATTGATAATGTGCAGGGTCGTTTGGCGGGGTGGAAAGGGAAGCACCTGTCCATGGCGGGAAGGGTCGTGCTCTGTAACTCGGTGCTCGCAGCCCAGTCTAACTACATGTTCAGCTTGTTCAAATCCCCTGCGTCTGTCATCAACAATCTCGAGCGCCTCCTTAGGTCGTTTATTTGGTCCGGTGTGGGGGAAGATAAGAAGTTTCATCTCGTGACCTGGGACAAGTGCAAATTACCCAAGCAGTTAGGTGGTTTGGGCATCACAGACCTGAGACTTAGAAACCCGGCTCTGGTTATTAAATCGTGGTGGAGGTATGCGGTGGAGAGAAATGTGTGGTGGAGATAGATGATTGCCCAAAAGTTTCCGAATCCTCATTCCCAATGGTCCACTAGTACTCTTAGGGGTCGCATCGGTTGCAGCCCTTGGGCTATCATCTTGAAGCTCGGTTCTGAGTTCTGGAAGTTCAATCACATTGATCCGGGATCTGGTCATGACACGACTTTCTGGTTTGATGTTTGGCTCAATGAGCGTGCCCAGCCCTTGGCCCTGGATTTCCCCCGAGTTGCCGCCGTTGCCGCTTCACCAAATTGTCGCATTGCTGACCTGTGGAGCTTGAGTGAGGGAAGTTTTTCTTGGTCCATTCCTATTTCTCATTCTCTTAGGGGAGGTGCTGAGGTTGAGAGAGTTAGTCTGTTGACCTTACTTAATAACTTATCATTCTCGAGCCTTGCTGCAGGTCCCTCTAGAATTGTTTGGGAGCTTACGCAGAATGGTAGGTTCAGCTCCCACTCT